AAATATCTTGGCTTTTGCTTGGCTGATAGGTTAGTGCTATTGTGGAAGATTGCACCTATGTTACTATGACTCTGCAGTAAGAATCTCTATTTTTGATGTAGATTTCTAGCTTCTGAGTTCAGTTGTTCTCTGCAAGCTTAGTACTTAATCAGTGTGTGAGTGTACTTTCTGTAGCTGCATTGGTGGCCTGTAAGACACCTGTTTTTTGTTCAGCTCCATAAAGCTTTTCCAGATGTGAGAAGATTCAGCTGTACCCGAGCTCGAAGTCTTCTGAAGAGAAGCTTTTTTTCTACAAGTTCTCTTGACAAACATAAGCTGCTACGCTGGGGAGAAGGTAAAGGAAACAAATGTGAAATCAGGAAATCTGACTGCAACACTGATCCTGGCAATTATAGGCTGTTTCAGTGATTAGCCTTCACAAAGCAGCACTCTAATCTCTACAGTGTGCAGGAGGGATGCAATTGTTTGAGTGTAAGAGTTGTGAATGCAGAAAGTTGTGAGGTTTTTTGTCTAAGTAAGAATAAAAATGTCCAAGAATAAATTAGCTCTTAGGCAAAAAAAAAAAAAAGCGAAAGGTAAAATAAGTAATTTAATATGCTATAAAATAGACAAAAAAGTTTCCTTGAGAAAGCTACAACCATACTGGTTAATGACCTTCTGAATCATCCAGAGCAGCTGGAGCTGTGACATTTTTGCTCTCAGATTAAGAGTATGCACAGGGATTTCTGAGCTAAATTTGTGAGTTGGACTGTGCAGTTGAGCTGAAGAGCACAAGCAGCACCCAAACTGCCACTGAGGGGAAATGGTAACATTGAAGGGTCACCAAAAACCCTTCAACAAAACATGCAACGTATATAAAGCCCAGTATTTATTATTACTGTGAAATATTACTGAGTCAGTTGAGGCATATTAGCTGTTTTCTTAGGGAGGAGTGTTTTCAAAGAATGCATAAATGTTATATTTGGTATTTGATTTAGATTAATAAGGAATGTGGCATATTGACCTTACTTGAATGGTTTCTGTGGGTGTGTATAGGTGCAAGTAATCTATTCGGAGTATGTTTTGGAGCAACTTTTTGTTGCAAGAGGGCTATTTGTAGAACACTGACAGATGAATGTGTTGTGGAGAGGTGTTTCTCACAGTGTTTTATGCTGTTGCGTTGTAGTGTGCAGCATAATAAAAACCCAAGATATAGCTATAAAAACATACCTCTTAGAGACTGCAAGGTAATTCTGGTATGTCTAAGTATTAAAACAATTTAACAGCTTTTGGTGCATGGGCTTTTTTACAGATTGCTATCTCTAATACTATGTGAGATTAGAGAGTGGTAGCTTCTTGGTGGAKGGATAGCTCAGTTCCCATATCTCAGTAGGAGAGTTTCTAGAAGTTGGCAATGCCCTTACTCCTGTGTGTGGCATCTACAGGTCTTTTATGTACAAGACTCCCCTTGGGTGTAAAATTTCTGCTGTGATTGCAGTTGCAGTAGTTGCCCTGGAGCCATGCAGGCCTTGCAAGGCCCATGCTTAGGATCGTGTAACATCTTCAGATGTAAATTTATTTTGGTTAACACTCTGGTACTCTGTTGGAAGGCCAAGAATTATCATTGTTTCTTCTTTCTCTTCCCTTGCATTCTTGTTCTTCAATATTTTTTTTCTTTTTCCCTGCATAGATTTTACATGCTTGCAGTTAGCCAATGCCTACTATTTTCCTGTAACTGCCCCCCTCAGTAATACATTGCAGATATGATAGTAAGTATATAACAAATGGCACGCGGGTACTGTAGGGAATTTGAAATATAARCTGCATATGAACTTAGTCCCTTGCAAAGGAAGAGCTTCATTGATCATGGACTGATGCTTTCTGATAGGGCTGTTCAAGTACTTCAGATGGCAATCTCAGTAATTTAAGCAACAGAGTATGGTGGCACAAGGCATCATTCCACATAGTCATTTAAGCTTATGGGGATAATGCAAGGGTTGGGATGACTGTTGCAGGCAGTGTTGCTCTGAGTTTAGTGACTTAAAAGTCACCTACAGGTCTCCCCCCTCCCCCTTTTGACTAATTAGAGTGAACCCAGCAACTGAGAATTTTTCATGCGCTTATTGCTGTCACCATACAAGTGTATTCTTAATGTTATTTATTTTACTAAGGATTAACATGCAGAAGTATTTAAAAAAAAAAAAAAAGACATGTTAGATGAGGTTCTGTGTTAAAAAGCCACCTAGAATCAGCTTGTTCAACTCATCTCTAAAAAATAAACATTCATTTCAAAATCACATGCTGTAGCCTGTCTTCAGGCTTTAGAGGAAGTCCTGTGCAAGCCCTCTGATTTGTTGAGGGGCCAAAGCTCATGATGTTTGAGGAGGCCAAAGGAGTTTGCCCTAAAGAATAGGATTAGGAAGGTGCTGCCTGTTGTCCCCTACTCCTACTTGCTGTCTTGCGGAGAGCATGGAGGCATCTGAAAGGAGGAGATGGATGCTGTGGTATTGTATCTCAGGGAAGTCTCAGAACTTCCTGTATTTTAAAAAGTAACTTTTTAAGGCTAAGCAGCTGTCTTGGGGAATGATACTTTCATGGCAATTGGATGGCAATGGCAGCACAAATATATAAACTTCTTTCTTCGTCGTTAATACGAAAGCATGCCCCTTTGCTTGCAAAGGTTATTCTTTATTTGGTTGATTTGCTCTAATTGGAACCAGAAGTCTTGTCCTGTTTTCTCAACAGACCTTTTTCAGTATTTACAGTATTTTTGTATACGTGAAAGTACACTGGATGTTAATATTKTACATGTTTTGTGTTGAAGAAGATTAGTATATATTTGTTGTGTGAGGTTCTGCTACAGTAACACTAGGGTTTTGCATTTAACTTACTTTACATAGTACAGAGTTGATAAATGTAGACTCGGCAATGCAGTGCACAAAAATTCTTTCCAACATTTTATCAATTTTCTCTGTTGATAAAGTCAGTGCATCATGAAGTTATATTTAAAATACCAATTTGTCATTTTAAGAGGAGCTTTTATATCAAAGAACACTTTACAGTGTTTTGGAGGAATCTAATAGCTTTAATTTTGCCAGAAAAATTACGAAATTTTTTTCGTAAACCTGACTTGTGGAATAAGTACTTTGTTCTAGCAGCAAAATCTTTGATATCTGTAAGAATGAAGCAGTTAGTTAAGTTAGTGAAATACGTGTAATGAAGATCAAGTTGAATGACTGTTAGTGCATGTAACCTCTRCTGGCAGGATGCCGGTTTGCAGACAACTCTAGAGCCTGCCTTACTACTCCATGGAAAAAAAGTCTTTGTCATTTTAAGCAGACTTCAGCTCCATCACTAGAGGTTAGATAGTATATGATGGATTCTTATTCTGATAGAATCCTTAAGGTTGGAAGGCACCTCTCAAGATCCCCCCTGCACACCCAGGGTCACCTAGAGCACGTGGCACAGGGCYGCATCCAAGCGGGTTTTGAAGATCTCTGGAGAAGGAGACYCCACMACCTCTCTTGGCAACCTGTTCTAGTGCTTTGTCACCCTCACTGTTAAAAAATATTTCCTTAAGTTCCTGTGGAAAAATATCTTGAATTTTTCTGAAATGAGTTAAGCCACATTCTGAAGCTTGTTTCACATCAACAAAATGGAATGTATTCTTTCTGTRTAGTCTATGATATAGACTTTGTGTATAGTCTATATGCATTGTTAACAGGCAAGTCTTTAACTCCCACTGCTAGTAATTAAATTAAGGTAAAATCTATGCTCCTATTTCTGAAAATGAATCTTTCTGCCTAGATATAATTAAATGAGATTAAATGAGCTCCTTGCAGATTTTTTTTTTTTTTTTTTTTTAAGGATGCAAATGTTAAATTTGATCAAATAGAACTTAATACTGTTTTGGTCCAAACAACGTGTGACCTACATGAATATTTGGTCTCTGTGAATGCCTGGATGTGTAACTAGAAAATTTGCCTATTTTTTAGCAATAAAAAGTTCAAATATTTAATAAAGTAAATACTGAACAAGTGACTAAGACCTCAACAAAATAAGTTGAAATGCTGTGGACAATGTACTGTTACGTTCAAATTTCAAGATAACACTTTTCTGTTGGGAAAAAAAGGAACATASCTTTTGCTTTGAATGAAGCTTTATCTAGTGGATTATGTCAGTGAGCTGAGGAGCAAGATATCTTATTTCACTGAAGTGACCAGTCAGTGGAGTATTTGCTTTTTTCTTTGCTGTTGGAAACTGGGCTGTTTTGGTGTTTTCTGTCTGCTGCTTTTGGTGAAAATTGATTGATTTTATTGTCAACATTCATTTCAAGTTTTGAAACACATCTTATTTTTAAAAATGTATAAAACATTTATGAAGGAAATAAAATGAAGGAACTGAAAATAATGAGGTTTCTGTATATGTTTTGGTGAGAATTATGATTCATTCAATTGGAGATTCAATTAACCTGAAATACAATTAGCAAAGGTTCTGTTTTATGGTAATACATAGCTCTCATTAACATGAAGGCATACTTTAATAGGTCTGTAGCATTTCATGTGGGCATAACTGAAAAAATTAAGTGTAAATTGGTAGACAAAAGTACTTAAGTGGAGTGAGGATACTATTTTGGTGTTATTCTCTGTTCCTGGACTCATCTCTTTGTATTGTATTGGTGTTCTCCCACTTTAACCTGTATTGTCATGTTGGTGTTCTCATGTACTTTCCAGGAGAGAAGAATTATGTTCCAGAAGGGAGAAAATATGTATGTGTGTCTGTCACATGCACTTTTATAGATCCACAGGTTGGATGAGCATGAATATTTCAAATAAATGATGATTTTGATACTTTCAATGAACCTCCACATGCTTTCTATGAAGCAGAAGTGTGTCAAAACRGCTAGGTTTCCATGCATGTTCATGCAGCTATCCATGGCTTCTGTACTTAGATGTTTGTAGCTATGAAGCACAGTGAGGAAAACATGTGACTCAACTGTTTTATGTTGCTTTGTTTTACAGGAGAAAGCCCAATGTTTACAGAAAGCTCTTGCTTCCCAAGCAGATAAATCCACTCAGACAGAACTTGTAGGCCATGATGTAAGTAAATGTTTTGGGCAGTTTTGTTTTAATTGTCTTTATGGGTTTCAGACTTATATCAACCGATTTGCTTCCATGCCTCTTGTTTCCCTGTATTGATTTAAATGGAATACCATTTATCCTTTGCCAATACCAATACTTGGAATACCATTTATCCTTTGCTCTTAAATGCTTCTCAAATGTTTTCTGCAACATGAAAAGATGATTACAGCTACCTACCAGCATGATAATGCCGCGTTAATTTAATGTTTTACCAGCAGCTCTCAGTATACTGAGGATTAATATGGAAGCTATATTAAGCAAATGCTATTTTTTTCAGTATCAGAAATAAATCACTCTAATAGCATGGGGCTGTTGTTTCTAATCATTGCATATTGACCAAATAATATTTGAATTCTGGAAATAATGGACAAACTTATAAATTTGTCAAGTTATTTTAAAATTTTGTAGARCAGCATCAGTCTGGATTTCTGCTAGAAGGTGAGTTGACAGTATACATGTTCATGCAAGAATATACTTAAAATCGCTATTTTTTATTAAAAGTGTTCCTTCTAGGAAAAAATGGTTTGCATATATGATATATATGTAGTGACTCACTTGGGTACGTGATGCTTGCTTGAATAATCCTTAAGAATGCTACAACGTGAATATTACCACAGTTGTTCTCTTTTCTGTGACTTGAGCAGAATCAAACAGTACTTGTTAACAAAGACTGTTCTGCAAATAAAAMAGAATGGTAAAAAATTGATGCTCAAAGTTTCCTATTCTTAATCAGACAAGTTCTTGAAGTCAGTTAAACTTGATTTGCTAGTGCAATACCTCAACAAAAGTAAACGAGGAGTGGTTTTATATGAACAATACATCCACATGTATTGATTTATCTGGTGCAGAGTGTCTGTGAAAATTAAATTGCTGGGAATAGGTTATGAAGAAAGATGAGCAGGACTGTACTGCAATGATACATACTTACTGTGATCTTCATTAAGGAACTCAAATCATGCTAGAATGAATAAGAAATGTGTAAACAATGAGTGTTAACATTTTACATGTGATTCAATGGTTTGTACTTTTACTAGATTTTGCTACTTGTCATCAAAGAATGGATATTACAGATAGTAATGGCTTCACTTGTGTTTCCACTAAAAGCAATTGACAAAAAACAATTGAGTGTTTTGCTTTCTTTGTCTTTATATCAGGCTTTAAAATGCAAATTACAACAATTTGTAAGTGGTATTTATAAATTTATTTATATAGAATTTGTTTAGATGCATTTTTAATATAAATACAAGTATATTGTGCTAATATGAAATTAGATGAAATGGAAAACAGGTCATCTGTTTTATTGTACTTTATTGCAGCTTTAAAAGTTAGCTGTGATCAGGTAAGTGCTTATGAGTACTGCACATTCTCACCCATGTTGTACAAAGAGAACACGCTTCAGAAGGGAGAATTACTGAAATTCTGAATGAGTATTTCTCAAAAGTTTGTTCAATGTTCTTTCTAATTTTTGCTTCAGTGTATCAACTTAATAGTTTAATGAAAAATCCTGTAACTTATTCAAAAGATTCTGACATTTTTGAGTGATCTTTTTATTTCAATGAGAAAATGATATCATGAAAAGCAACAGAAAAAGTGACATCTTTCCAGTGTATTCTGATGCTTGATGAAGCTATTTCATTTTCCTTTTGCTGTCTACAATCTCCTTAACTGGCTTTGACCCTTTCTCCAATGCAGTTACCTTAAATTAATGTAATTATCTGATTTTGCCAAACATAATCTAAAATGTGAAAAATTATGCACAAAAGACTACAAGAGGTATAATAGTTTGTGCTGCAATTTTGTTTGAATATCCTAAGACAAGAAGGAATAGATGATAATATCTGCGATAGTGAGACAGGTTAGTCCCCAATACCCCTTCCTTGACTTTTGGATTTTCCARTAGTTGGGATACTGCTCTTCAGCCTGGGAGTTGTGTCATTAGGAATAAGTGAAAACTCTTGCTTTGATTTAAACAGGAATTGAAACACTTTGTGCATAAAATGTAGAGCAATGGAAAAAATACCAAGGGATTAGTCTGTCTTTKGGAAGCAATGGGAGGAAGATGAAGAAGATTTCATATTTCAAAAGGAAGAAACTTTTTTTTTTTTGTGGATCTGCTCTGAAAAATTTTAGGCCTAGTATTGGCTCTGTGTGTTGTAGGAATTGGARTCTACCAAGCTGATGGGCAAGGTATAGGATCTTGGCATCTTTTGCAATGCCTATAAATTATTGATTACTGCTTTTGACATATTTATTTTCTACTATCCATAACTCTGAGGTTTTTCCAAAGGAAAATGCTTTAGAATGCAATATAACCAAGGAAATAGAAGCAGATTTGGTAAAAATGGTTTACTTATGAAATGAAAATGAAAATCTCTACAGAGTAAAGTCTCTACTGAAAATCATTTAACCCATGAAGTCTTATAGAAAGAGACATGTGCCTAAGAAGATGATGGGGCAGACTGCTAAGTAAYAAATGACGAGTGAGTCTTAAATAATCAATACCAACTTTACCTCCTTTGTCTGCACAAACTATTGAGAGATCAAACAGTAATTCTTCTGTCAGTCAAGTCACTAGAAGGTGATGGAAGATGAATAGATGTAGACATTAAGCTTTGTGGCTAAAGGCAAGATCATGGTAAGTGCTGTACTAGAGTACAGCCCCAATAATGGCCAGGAACTAAATAAGGAGTCTTAAGTGCCATGCAGGCATCTCTCACACACATTGTGCAGCTTGTAACGCAACAGGGAAGTTTTAATGAAAATTTTTCTTGAAAGTAGTCAAAGAATCACAATACAGTTCTTAACTTGTGTATTAACAAAAGGCCTCTGACTGGATGCTACTTTATGAATTGACTGCTCAGTGGGTTTGGGTGGAAGGGATTTGTGCTTTATTTTTCGTTCTCCCTGGATTGTGTTGGGCTGTGCTGCCCGCTCTAGGAAGGCAGGGGAAGAAGGTAACTAAGTACTTGAATTTTTCCCACTTGATGTCAATAGATGCCTGTTTGCAGTATCATGTAGTTCGTTGCAGTGGGAAGGGGATTGCCTGCTGGAACTGAAAATACATTCTGTCTCTGCTTGGTTTCTTGTTTCTGCCTAGGACACATATGTACATGCACTGTTGTATTGCAATGCCTTGCTTTTCTCCTTTTACATCCTATTTTCTATCTGAGAACATTTATAGATTGGTGTAATGCAAAATTATGCTTGCTGCATCTCTCTAATGTAACATCCTTTAAAGAGTAAGTACCTTTAGAAATCACATTATCTATCTTGAATCTTTTCCTTGCTTATACTGGTGGATACCTGTTCAAATCTTGATACCTTTTTTTTTTTTTCTTGGTGTGCTTATTGCTTACAACTTCTTGTAGCAATCACTACTTAATGTCTGATAGCTTTATTTTCAGTATTAGATAACATTTTAAAACTTCCTATGTTTATTCTGGGTTGTTCTACTACTGCAAGTTCTTTCAAACCATCCATGCATTCGTAGTGAAAGATTATGCTGAACCTTTTTTCTTTGATGATTGCGTCCTGCAAACTCTAGTCAGCCATGTAGCCTAACCATCAAACTGTAACCGGTAAGTTAACATTAGTGCATTTGAGTGCTTGCTTGTGCCAGAAGTTTGACATCTGTAGTAAAATACAGGGAAATATTTAAGTTGTACTAAAATGCGGATAAACTCACAAAACAGTTGGGTGCTAGAACAAGAAATTAGCCCTTTTAGTGTGGAGGAAACCAGCCTTAAGATCAGTAAACTTGRCATTCTGTAGCAATGCTCCATTAGTATCTGCTTTACTTTGTGGGAAGTAAATGAACTTCTGCCTGCTTCTGTAAAAAGAGATACAGCTAAAATATTTGTAGCAATGCATAGCCTGATGGAATCATAGCTCAGCTTCTTGGTAGATCAGAAATTAATATTATGCTGCTGAAAAAAAATATTTTTGTGTAATATATGTGCAGTGTTTTTCTTGGGTTTAATTTTTGTCTGTCCCTACTTCACTCTACATTTCTGTCTTACTTTTCTTGTCCCTTCATAGCCTTTCCTATCTTGCTTTTAAGGTCTAAAAAACTATAAGATGAGGTGTTTGGTGTCAGTAAGTATTGGTCAGACTTCTCTAAAACTTCTGCCTATGTTTCTTGTGGCTGGGGAGAAGAAGAGGAGAAGTGGGTTTAGGTATCGCTACTTATTCATCCTATAAATCCTTTTTCCACTTCGTCACTGTTTTCCCTTTGCAATTCTCTGAGAGTTACAGATAGCTTTTCACTTAAACAGCTTTGTCCATTCGTTTATTTTTATCTTATTTCTTTTTAATTTCCTTTAATTAAATGAGCATGACTTAACGAAATGTTAATTACAGTCTTGTATTTAGGTGCACAGTTTCTACTACAGAGCTGGATCAAGATGAGGTTGTCTGTCATGTCTCCAAGTACTCAACCAACAGCTCTGCCTAGAATTAAAAGTGTACTTGTACTATGTCAACTTGGGTATCCCAAACTGTGATGTTAGAGCTAGAAGTGAGTAGGATATGGGCATCTGGACACCCATTTTGGTCCCTTATAATAAGTTCTGTTTATGTCTTATGCAGAATACTGGCTGTGTCCTATGTAGCAAGCAAGAAAATGTTTTAGGAATGTTTTAGTGGCGCTGTAGACTTTTAAATATTGTTCCTTTACAAATAATAATTTGTTCAAAGGGTAAAAATTGTCATGGCAAGGTTAATTTCAGCTTCTAGTAGGTTATCCCAACTGAGTTATGAGCTTAAGGAGACAGGTTCAATGAGTCCTGAAAGGAAATCTGCAAGCATAGCAATGTTTTGGGTATTTTTTCTTTAAAAAGTAGAAAAACTCGACCTGAACTTGGAAAAAGATCAGCTCGCAAATTATGGAAATGAGTTAACTGGAACATTATGAAGCAATGTACCTTAAAGACTATGTGTATTACTTTGAATTTTGCATG